GCATCAGCTTCTCATCTTTCTCTGCTGCTGAGAACACAGCAGCAGCAGTAATAGCAAGGTGGGGCGTGGGAGGCTGGGATGCTCACCTTTACAGCAAAATGCCCACCAGCGGACATAGACCAGAATGATAGAAATAGAGAACCACCATTTTCCAACCACCAAAGTTGTAGTCAAATCAGAGGGGAATGCTGAATGAAAACTCAGGCCAAGAGGTGAAAATATGTCGGAGAATGGAATACCTACATGGTATCAAACTTTCACACCATGGACTGCTTATAAATCACGGAGGGACAAAAGGTGCCTTTCCACTGGAGCGATCTGTCCAACAACACCTGAAGTGATCAACCCGAGTAATGCCAACAGAGCACTGACAGCTTGACAAACCGACCTTAGGAGTCTCCAGATATGATGTAATGTGAATTACTCATCACCTACTTAATATTCTTGTCCAAAAGGTTAAACATAAATCTAAGCAAGGAAAATATCAGGCCAACCCACAAAGTGGACACCACATGCAAACAGGCCTAGGCTCTTGGAAAATGTCCTTGTCATGGAAGATTTAAGTTGAGTGACTGTTTGGGACAAGAGGATACTAAAGATTCATGAGAACTGGATGCAGTGTATGATGCTTGTTTGAATTACTGGTCCTCAAAAGCATATTATTGGGACAATTGGGGAAATCTGAATACACACTGTATATGGACTTAGACAATATGATGTCACTGTCAAATTTCTTCAATGTGATGTTAGTACTGAGGCTAGACGGCAGAATATCCCAGTTCTCAGGAGATAGGCTCTGAAGTAATTGGATGAGGTGTTTGGAATTGTTAAGTGGTTAGGCAAAAAGAACAAAAAGGAGAGGTAAACCAATGGGATAACACCAATCTAGGTAAAAGAATGTGGTGAAAATTACTCTAGGGAAACTTCACTAACATGCAGTCGAGAGGCCAGCAGGGGGAGCCCTCAAGCCCTACCACTTCTCCTCAATTGCAGACCCAGGCAGAAGAGAGGGACCTTGCAAGTCCATACTGCTTTAGGTAACACTTTTCTGTCCCAGCAGGGGGAAGGAAAGCTTTCCTCCTCCCTCGGCTACAGCCCAGCCAATGAGAGATGGGTCACAACTCAGCCAACGCAAAGCCACTATACTTGGAACTCCCAGCTCACTCCAATGGACTTTTTGTTTACATCAGCCCCTCCCAAATCTGCCCTTTCCTCTGTAAAAGAGCAGTTCTCCTTTGTTCTCTGGACTTGCCTATGGTTTTGCCATAGCTTGCTTGCCCTGAATTGCAATTCTCTGCTATTTCTTAAGAAAACCATTTTGGCTGGTAAAATAACTGACAGTTTTGTTTTTAAGATCAGCAATGTTCGCTTTTCAAATTTGTGCACTTTCATAGGAAAAAGTTGAGGGAAATGGATTGCTCATATTTTAGAGGTAGGTAGGCAGTGAAATATTTAGCAATGAAATAAGATGATTCCTGGCATTTTCTTGAAAACAGTCTGGGAGCGGGGTAGGGGTGAAGATATACATGAAATGAGTTTGGCTATGAGTTGTTAATGGTTGCAGTTGGGTGATGGTTAACTGGAGATCCTTCACTATTCTGTCTTGTAGAGCGGTTCTTAAAGTGTGTGGTTCTCCCACCAGCAGCATCTGCATCACCAGAGAACTTGGCAGAAAAGCGAACTCTGGGTCCTACCCCGTATTTTTAAATCTGAGGCTATAGATGCGGGTCTCAGCAGTCTGTGCTTTAACAAGCCCTTTGGGTGATTCTGATGCAAGCTAATGTTCCAAGACCACAGCTCTACTGTAGTGAACCTGGAGTTTGTAAGTTTTTATACGAACTCTATTTGTATTTTGTTTGAAATTATCCACAGTGCAATTTAGAAACAAATAATAAAGAAAGGCACCCCAGCAGTTTAGCAGTCAAGTTTTAATAATGAAGTCTCAAGACAGATAATACTAATCTTATACAAACAATGCCAGAGGACAGAAGAGAGGGACTGTTCCCCAACTCAGTCTATGAGACTAGAAAACCTTGACCCTGGAATCAGTGAAGATAGTATGAGAAAGAGAAACATCAAGTCTATCTCTCTCATGAACAGAAGATGCAAAAACCCTAAGCAAAACTTTAGCAAACTGAACCCACCAGCGTACACGAAGGATGATACACCGTAACTTGGTTACATTTATCCTAGGAGAGCAAAGTTGTTTTAATAGTAGAGAAACTATAGGTGGAAGGGGGCATGAGAGGGGTTTGTGTGTTTCAAATATGTTCTGTTGCTTGCTCTAGGTGCTAACTGAATGTGTGTGTTTAATTTTTGAAAACTCATTAAGGTACACACTTAGGATTTTTGTCATTTTTTACTATAAGATCAACTTTTCTAACGATTTGGGGGGGGGAATCTATAAATAACACTCACTGTATCAAGAGATTAAATAAATAGACTCCTGCTCATTTTAATGGAGGCAGAAGAGTACAATGCAATATCTCTTCATGATTTTTAAGACAAACTTTTAAAAGTAGGAATATAAGGTAAGTTTCTTAATCTGATAAAGGGAGAGAGAAAGAGAAAGAAAGAAAGAAAGAAAGAAAGAAAGAAAGAAAGGAAGAAAGAAAGAAAGAAAGAAAGAAAGAAAGAAAG